GGCCCATGATGGGCTGATAAAGAGGTGATGAGGTGTCACTGGTTCTCTGGGAATTCTCTGTATTCTCTTTCGGTCCTTATGACTCCTCCAGCGGGGGCTAATTTCCTCTCTAAATGGCTTCCTCTGCTTGAGGAGAGAGAGACCGTTTTAATGAAACAGATTCCCCAGCTTCCGTCATCATTGTGTTCATGAAACAATGGGAATCTAGTTAGGTGAGGTGGTTATGAGGCGATTTAAAAGGGCAAATGGAGGAAAGTAGGCCCAAAAAGAGAATCTGTGACTGAAGCAGGTTCTTTGCATGAGCTGTGACTTAAAACAATCCTGTAAGTCACAAGAAAAGCAGTAATGTGATAAGTAAAGGAAGCATTGTAGTCAAGAGAGTCCAGAGAGAGTTAGAGTCCAAGTCAAGACAGAGACCTAGACACTTCGAGTCCGAGTCAAGATCGAGAACAGATTAAGATTTTTTTCAGAATATAAAAATAAAAAGAAGAAAGGAGGGAAAAAAACTGAAATTTGTTTGTGTTTCATTGTACATTTACTATAATTCATTATATACAATATACGGTCATAAAAACAATGAAATATAACATGTAAAATATAACACAGGATAAAAGATCAACTATTATTACATTATAGTCTTAGTCCAAATTTGCATTGTGACTTATGGAAGCAGATGACGGTGAGGTTCTTCCGTGTCCTTTCTTCTCTAAAAGATATTCACATATATATTCACCACCTAAAGTCAACTGAATATAAACCAAACAACACACATTCATTTTTAACATTAAAGGAAAACACAGTAATAATAACATTCCCATCTGCCTTTGGAGGATGTTCGAAGTTTGGGATCAGTGAACATCAACAGGCAAGTAACGCCCAGTTAAGACATTATGGAAAGATTAATTAGATCCTCAACCTGCAGAACAGATTGTATTTACTCATGTAGAGAAAGGACTGTTTTATTCTGTTTAAAGGTTTTGTTGATATTCAATAATGATTGACGAGTCATTCTATCATTCAGCTTTCGTTACCTCAGACAGAGGCATTGCACTCAGCTGATCTTGGGAACAATTTCCAAGTCCACACTACCCTGAGTCAGAGACAAGACTGAGACTGTCGATTTATTCTTGAGACCAAGACTGGACTCAAGTGCTACAACACTGGGAAAAATAGGACTTTTTTTCACTCTGGTATCCAGGTAGATACAGCGAAAGTGAGCTCTCCCACTGGTTAGGACTTCAGGAGCTGGACTCAAGGCCTTACATGTCAGTTTACCAACAAACATAATTAGGAACGCACAGTAGAGTCAACCAGCCATGTTTTGATTTACAATGAGTGGGACGAATTCTGTGAAAAAAAACTTCACTCTAGATCTTCTGGAGGTTCTAGATAAGTCATTGACTGTGAATATGAGCCACAGTCTAAACCAGTTCTCAGTCATTTGGAAATGGAAAACAGAGGCAGCTCTTTCTTTACAGAGTTACATACATGATGATGTTGATGTCTGTTATAAGCTTCAGATGTCTGTGTTTAATCTGGAATAGCCAAAAAATGGTGCACCAGCATTAGTTAATGCTAACATACTAATAGAAATCCCATGGGGGGCTAGCAGAAATGAACATTGTTGTATTGCTCAGTGTTGGTATTTACGGCCAGAACCGAAGGCCTAGCTCTAATAGCCATGGTTCAGCACTCAATTCCACCCACTAATTAACATCTTTTCCAACTGATGCAAACACATCATCGTTTGGAACACCAACTGATAATTTTGTCAGCTGACAGACACGAAAAATGATGTTGTTTCAAATTGTCAAAATGTCAAATCTATTTCGCATCTAATGAAATGCCCAATAAGTAAATTTTCAATTCATATAAATGAGTGAAAAGATCTACGTTTTTCAATTCACCACTCATTAAATGTTAAACCATCAATTTGAAATAACAATTGATAAACATTAAACAGCCCTAACATGGACAGCACAGTGGTGCCTACTGCAGCGCTAGTTTAGCTAGCAGGCTGAAAGCTCCACATAACGCAGGACAGGTTAGATTCCAGTCAAAGTGTATACTGCCCAGCCCTCCCAACCGCAAAAGCCTGTTGGGCTGCACAATCCCAAAGACTGCAGTATGAATAAGGTCAGAAAAATAGGTAAACTAAAGCACTGTGGAAAAGGGCCATTAACAACAGTGGCCTTCGTAAAACGGCTCATTTCACGATGGCCATCTTTAATAATATAATAGTACGGGAAAAGAGCTGTGCTGACCACACACTGCCTGAGCAGCAATTTCACAGAGGGCTTTGTTTGCTAATCTGGTTCATCACGATTCCACTTCCAGTCCCTTTATGTGGTCCAACTGTGCTGGCAGCAGCTCACTGGGCAAACAAACGAGAGGAAAAATGCTGAACGAAGAGCCATTCGCCATGAGGTAAGCACTACAGTGACCGCTATGGCCTCAGGTGACCGGCAGACCCGCAAAACATGCAACACAAACCCGGGAAGGATAATACGCTTTTCCTTCCCAGTAGGGCTGCATGATATGAGCAAAATACGGATATTCTGATTACATGTTAGATTCTGTGACTGCAATACACTTTACAGTGTGTTGAAAAAGCACTGGTAAACCAATAATGTGACAAGATTAAAGACTTAATAATGACCTGCATTATTTTGATATATATGTTCATATATATGATTCTGAGATGCACTGTGAATCTCTCTTAAAAGATTCTAAATTGATGCACAAAAATCATAAGCTTATGCAAATATTATTTTTGAGAAATGTACCAAACATTTCTGATGAAAAATAAACAGTACACCGTCTGAAAACAAGCGCCACAAAGGGACATGGCTTAGAAAAACCATCTTAGTTCTCTGCTCACAGTGGTGGTGATAGGAACCAGACGTCTGAAGAGTTTAATGCCTCCAAAAGCTCCTTCACAGAAAGTTATTACATACATTAATGGCTACAAATACATTGCTTCATACCTAAGACACAATAGTTTTGACAGGTTTTATTTATTTTTTGAGTATTATTTAAAATACCGTAATTGCAGATTTTTATTTTCAGATTTATTTACATTATTAACGTTACATAAACACTTCAAAGACGTGCAGGTTCACTGGCTTTCAGTATAGTAAACTAGAGGGTTATATATTTGTATTGTGACCCCTGGTTCCTATCAGCACCACTGTAAGAAATCTGAGTTAGTAAGTTTCTCTACATTGATCCATTTTGCATCAGTTTTTGATGCAGTTTTTGATGTCCTTTTTAAACACGTGCACTGTGTAAGCATACAGTGAAATTTAAGCGAGCTAACGTTGCTGTCAGCCTCATCTGCACACTGCAGCAATATCAGTACTGCACAGGCCAATATCGTGAGTAACAAACAATGTATTGTGCAGCAGCACGTCCTACCCACTCTCTCTGTGGGGGGACTGGATCACATGACCACTAACCACCTCTGTCCTAGTGGAACACAGCTGCTAAAGCTCCATGACAACTGCTTCTACAGAAGAGAGCCCAGTCCCAACACACACGTACAGATGCACACTTCTTGTTTACAGTGGCACTCGGCACTGAGTGGGCCCTGCAGGTGAACTTCCTGTGCTGAGGAAGCAGGAGAAGCAGGAAGCTGGAATAAAAAGCTGTTGCGCTTTGTTTTTTTTTCTACATGCTGCAGCAAATATGCAAATTCACATCTGAAAAAACTAAAGAATGGAAAGTTATATTATGCTGAATGTGTAAGATGGACTGCACATATTACTGTCTTCAGAACTCCATTTCTTTCAGCGGTTTTTGCCCCATTTAAAAAAATAAAAGGATCCAAAATCACCTGTAATAAAATCTGGTAGCACTGCTGCACATTAAAGTTAAAGGAAAGGTTTGGTAAAAAGTCAAATTTACACGATTTTCCACTTGACCCAGATGCAACTCATCAAAGAATACATGTCTGGTGTTCAAATTTTGCCTTTAGTTTAGCACTAGAGCTACCTGGTTAATGTTGCTTATACTAGAAGTCAATAGTCACCCAATTTTTTTCCGGAAATACATCCCCAAAACTTCTCTCAACACACTCAAACTACCTTTATACCTTCTTAAAGACGTTTTTAGAAACAGTACTTATTGTGAAGTATAAAAAAGAAAGAAAACTTCACCATATAGCTGAATGCTGTAGGTGGTTCCTATTAGACAACAGGCTTTGTGCCAAACTCCATCTCCACCAGCGCAATCCAACTCCTACACTTATTACATAATCGCCTAATCGCACTTATTTGAGATGATCACAATTATGTGAAATGATCACAGTTATTTAAGATGACATTTATATATTATTCTGTGTGACTGCAGACATTTGTTTGAGTAAAAAGCTAGGAAGCAAGATGGCTAATCCGCTAATTTGCCAATGGCATTTGGCTACCCAGTGTTTTGTCCATTTTTATAGGTCCCAGTAAGCCATACTGTGACCTAAACCACATTGACAAGCCTCTGTAACCTTAATGAAGAGAGGTTTTGTGGACTTACGGAAAACATTTGGGTGACCATTGACTTCTAATGCTTGTTATCAACATTATCCTCATATGAACTATTTTTTTTCCCAAACCATTCCTTTCCATTCCTCCAATCCAGTTACCATTTTGGACAGGAGGTTTTGTTACAATATGCTTTTTTACATTAAACAATACTGCTAAAAGTTGCTAACAGCTAAGGAGTGGTAAAAACAAAACACAGAGTCCACTCAGCTGCTCTTGAGGCGCCAGCCAGCATCCAAATCACCTGGTTGGGCTAGTTAGGCCTGTTCCCCTCCTTTCGATCGAGCACAAGTCAATAACTGTCCAGTCCAATCACTTGCATGAGATAAAACCCTTCACACAGTCACATGACCTCATCCTCTGCCACGTGTGCATTACTGTCATAGCTGCAGGTCTATCACCACCCTGCCAAACAAAAAAACCTCCCAGGAGGCCTACAAGGCGGAACGATCTAATCTGTTTGCATACCTGATGATGACGCACTGGTTTTCTCGGTCGATCATCATGTTTCTGTACATGTTGTCTGCCAGTGCATAGATGTGGGGAGGGTTTTCATACTGAGCCTAAATATGAAAGAGAGAAAGCAAAAAGAGAAAGTGTGATAAGAACAGCTGCAAGATCTGTACCAATCGCAAACTGAGCTAATGAGCTTAATAAGATAAAAATCAGAGATGCCACTAGGGATGCACTGTGATATCAGAATCATATCTGTATTGGCAGATAATTCAAAAATAATAATCTGTATTAGACAGGTGTTCAGATTTGACTGAAGTTTGATTATGTATTTATTGTACTCAAAAACAGCAGGATCTTTAGGCGACATTGGGCTATTATTCAAAAAAGTCTTTTATTGATTTTTTAAATACATTTTTCATAAGTGTTTGTATAGGGGGCAGATATGCACATGAAAAATATCTGAATTAGCCCACAATTCTCCTATCAGTGCATCCCTAGATGACACAACACCACTTTTTACTGAAACTTTGTTTTCCGAAACTGATTCTGTGTTTTCCTTGATAACTATATTTCATTGACTTTTCATGTCCTTTAGTGTAATGTAATTACTAAATAGTTTAAAGTAGTTACAGAGTAATTTACAGGAGTTGCATGAATGACTTATAGTAGTTAATGGATGATTTATAATAGTTACTGAATAATTTACAGTAGTTACTGACTAATTTAAAGTACTTACTGAATCACTGATAGCTCGGGACAATAAAATATACTATATTGTACAGAACTATATTGTAGTATATCATATCAGATCAAACAGTTCCTTTGTGAATAGCATGTTAGCTAGCGGCAAGTGTGTTAGCTTGGGGCTAAGACATTAGCTTACGGCTAAAGCATTAGATTGGGACATTATAAAGCACAACTTTTGTTTCAAATACTGTACTTTTATAATGTCAAATGTTTGAATCGAATACTTTTCATGTCCTTTAGTGTAATGTTTTTTTAATATTGCTGACATAGCAGGACTTGCTGTGCTGTGCTAAATAGCAAGCTACTCATTGTTTTAATGTTGACCTTAGTCCACTGTTATCACGTGACCTACGTTACTTCTCTTTATGTTACGTTGTATTACAGCCAATTCTGTAATATTTCTGGTAGGACTTATTAGAGTCGCACTGGATTGGTACATATACTGTATACTGGATTGATACCATTTCTATTAGAAATACCAAGAAAACATATGAGGAATAATTTAATGCTAAGCTGCAAACTCTGAAGGCTCTGTCTGAAGTGCCCCAGAGAGCCGGGCCAGCTCTCAGTAAGCAGGCCAAGAGCAGTTAAAAGCAAATTCGAACATGCTGTTCTGTGGAGATGCTGCCAGGTGACTTCACAGCATAGGACAGGTCTGTGCTGCATTCCTCCTGGCTAAAAATGTAGTGAGCACAAATATTTGCACCACACCTAATTCCTCTGAAAACTCTTTCGTCTGTGCTGTAGGAAAATCATAACTTTATTTGAAATTATTTGTCCCATTGGCTTCTAATGGCTGAACTTTACTTTCTGGCTGTTTCGCTGAAAAGTCTGATATTGAGGGACACAAAGTGTCTCAAAAGAGTTTCACACACTTCTTACTGAGTTACATAATGATGAATGACAACACGTTCCGAGTTCCACCTCTGCCAAGAGGAGTTATACAAGTTCTTTCCTAGAAGATCAGATCTTGTAGAATACTTACTGCTCCTTGGTACATCTCCACCTCCTTGTCCCCGAAGTAAGGCATCTGTTTAAAAGGGTTAACAGAGATGAGCACAGGTCCGATGTATGTCTGCGTACAGAGGTCAAGGGTTATTTGCTCATTATGCAGGTAATGCTGCTTTGGAGTTCTCACATTATTAACCCCTTAAATCCTAAGGGTCTCTTTGTGGATCAACATTTAATTTGCTTACTCACAACTACATAACTTGCATATTAGTGTCATAGTAGTTAGTGAGTAATTTACAGTGGTTAGTGAAGAATTGTAAGTAGTTAGTGAACAATGTAAAGTAGTTAGTGAACAATGTAAAGTAGTTAGTGAGCAGTTTAAAGTAGTTAGGGAATAATATATAGTAGTTAGTGAATAAGAACAATTTATAGTAGTGAACAATTTAAAGTAGTGAGCAATTTAAAGTAGTTAGTGAATAATGTATAGTAGTTAGTAAATAAGAACAATTTAGAGTAGTTAGTAAACAAATTATTGTAGCTAGTGAATAATTTATAGTGGTTAGTGAAGAATTTAAAGTAGTTAGTGAGCAATTTAAAGTAAGTAGTGAAAATGTATAGTAGTTAGTGAATAAGAACAATTTATAGTAGTTAGTGAACAATTTATAGTAGTTAGTGAATAATTTTATAGTGGCTAGTGAAGAATTTTAAGTAGTTCGTGAACAATTTATAGTAGTTAGTAAACAATTTATGGTAGTAAACAATTTAAAGTAGTTAGGGAGCAACTTAGTTAGTGAATATGTATAGTAATTTAGAGTAGTGAACAATTTATAGTAGTAAGAGAATAAATTATCATAGTGAATAATTTACAGTACTTAAGGAATAATTATTGCATATGTAGTAGTTACAGAATAATTCATAGTAGTCACCAATTTATTTATAGTAGTTATTGCATAATTTATAGTACTTAATGAATCCTTTATAGTAGAGTTTGAATAATTCATAGTAGCTACTGAAAAAACATACAGCAGTTAATGATAAAGTAATTACTAAATAGTTTAAAATAGTTACAGAGTGATTTATAGGAGTTGCCTGAATGATTTACAGTAGTTATTGCATAATTTATAAAAGTAACAGAATAATTTACAGCAGTTTACAGCAATTTAAAGTACTTACTGAATCACTGATAGCTAGGGATGTGACAATGCAATAGATTATATTCTACTGAATTGTATTGTAGTATATCATATCAGATCAGATCAAACTCTGTGGTTTGTGAATAGTATGTTAGCTGGTGGCAAGGGTGTTATCTTGGGGCTTAGACATCAGCTTATGGCTGAAGCATTAGACTGGGACATTTTAAAGCACAAGTTTCAAATACTGCACTTTTATAATGTCAACGGTTTGAATCAAGTACGTTGAATTCTAACACCCCTATTTTAGCAGCTACTGAATAATTTGTATTACTAAATAATTCATAGTGGTCAACAAATAATTTATAGTCATTACAAGGATCACTGGGAGAAAATGTCTTCGCTGCAATTATACCAATATTTATAACATTTATTTATGTGCTCATTTTACTGAACTTCTCCAACTATGAACAACTGTAAAAACTCTAAACATGCTTTGTGTGTTGTTTTATTGTTTATGTTCCTGTACTATGCAAATACTTCTTCCAGTCATGTGCATTGCTATTTTTAAAAATAGCAAAATAGTCCAACTCTGGTGAAATTTGAATCATGACTAAACTGAATTATTGTGAGGTCAAATATTTGCGCCCTTACAAGTTTCTGAATAATCTGTCTTCTGATATGATCAAGTCTGGGGATCAAGGGGTGAAATTAATCATTTTGAGCCATTCATATCACAAATGTGAGAGAGAAAAAGTCATTGCCTTTTTTGGCAAATGAAGAAATGATCTAAAAATGGGCAATCGGGTGATGACAACAGCGCTGAGGGGAGGGGAGCAGCTGTGCAGCCAGAGTGAGAGGTCGGAGCTGTTTGGCTGCTGCTGCTCAGTGCAAATAAAGGAAGTATTGAGCTTGACTCATGCTGACCTCAGTCCCATATGCTGCTGACTAGAACACTGCAGCACTGTGGCTATTTTCTGACCACAATCATGGACTGATTTAGGGTTAAAGCTTAGAATGGTCCAAGTCCGCTAAGACACCATAATCCTAATAAGGCCAGAGAACTTTATGACAGATGAGGTTTCATTGAGAATTTCGAGTGAATTCTGCTGGAGGGTCATACAAAGAGCCAATGGCTCCCACAATGCGAACGCAGGGGTGGATGTTGCCAAGAACACTGGTTTCATATTTTATATAGCACAGATATAAGCCAGCACGGCCTGGTTGGGTCCTGAAGCAGCAAAGCTTTCATAACCTCCCAGTAGAAGAACCTAACTTTGATTAAAACTGTGTCCAAGATTGTGGGAAAACAACAGGGCTTGCAAGAGTCTTAAGATAGCCTTCAGACCATTTAGGCCCAAAACACACTGTTCCTACAGCTTCCAACAAACACAAATGAGTCAATGCTGCCAACTGGCTTTAAAAAGTTCAGAAAAGGCCTGAAAAGCCGAATGAACTTGTGCCCATAGGGGCGAAACAAACACACTAGACCTGCATGATATAAATGCAATTCCATTTTGAAATTATAACATTAGTTGTTGCAACTGTGATATACCTTAAAGTACACTCTACGGCCAAAGTATGTGGACGTCTGACCATCATCACTTGAGCTCGATGGACATCCCATTCCAAAGCCATGGGCATTAATAAGGTGTTGCCCCCCCACATTCTGTGGCTAACATCTTCCACTCTTCTGGGAAGGCTTTCCACAAAATTTTGGAGTGTTTTTGTGGGAATTTGAGCCAATTCAGGCAAAAGAGCATTTGTGTTTCAGGCACTGATGTTGGACAAGAAGATCTGGCTCACAATCAACGTTCCAGTTCAATGGAGTAGAGGTCAGGGCTCTGTGTAGGCCACTGGAGTTCCTTCACAGTACATTCACCAAAACGTGTTTATAAATCTTATATTTTGTGCACAGGGACACAGTCATGCTGAAACAGGAAAGGGCTTTCCTCAAACTGTGGTCACAAAGTTGACTAACATGTCGTCATATGCTGTAGCATTAACATTACCCTTCACTGGAAATAAGGGGCCGAGCCCAAACCCTGAAAAACAGCTCCAGGCCATGATCCCTCCTCCACCAAACTTTACTCTTGGCACTGAGGGTGTAGCGCTCTCATGGCGTGTGCCAAACCCAGATTTGCCCATTATACTGCCAGATAGTGAAGCATAATTCATCACTCCAGAGAACACGCTTCCTCTGCTCCAGAGTCCAGTGGCAGAGTGCTTTACACCACTCTGGCCAGTGCTTGGCATTGCACAGCGATCTCAGGCTTGTGCCATGCTTGGCCATGGAAACCCATTAAATGAAGCTCCTGTTCTTGTGCTGATGTTGCTTCCACAGTAAGTTTGGAACTATGCAGTAAGTGATGCAACAGATAGGTGATTTTGTCTACTACTGTGTGGCTGAGCTGTTGTTGCTTTTAGACGCTTCCATTTCTTAATTATAACACTTACAGTTGGCTGGGGCAGATCTAGCAGAGCAGAAATTTCACAAACTGGCTTGCGGCAAAGGTGACAACCTATGACAATGCCAAGTTTAAAGTCACTGAGCTCTTCAGTACGAAACACTCTACTGCCAATATTTGTCCATAGAGACGGCTATTTGTCTATGGCTTGGCTATTTGCTTGATTTCACACACCTTTTATCAATAAACATGGCTGAAACACCTGGATACAATAATTAGGAAGGGTGTCCACATATACCACATATCCACCATACAGTGTATAATCCCACATTTACTTATCATGTGATGTTATCGTGTGGTTACTGGTGTTCTAACACGGCATACTTTCCTTTGCTTCACATTTTGCGACACTACAAGCAATTCTGTGCTATTTTTAGGCTAGATTTGACAGTATCGGATCTAACTCAGTCTCTATTTCTGGTGCCATCTCTGTTTGCATATTGCGGCCTTTAATGATATCAGTACTGCAAAGGCCTATGTTGTGATAATGAAGAACAAGTGCTATATTATGCTACATTTGCGTTTGTAGGATCGGTGTGGCGTGGACTTTAAATGCCATTTGGCTAAGCCGCAGTAAAGTCAGCCTAATCAAGATTCAATCTATACTGCCCTGGAATGGGTCCAACGCTACCGTCCAAGAAAAGGCACAGGAAAACATTCTTTAAAACGCCCTACATAACTGCAGACAGGACAAGCTGAGGAGGAGATCAGCACACTGCACCACCCTCTGCTAAACTATCTGCTGAGATACTATGGCTAAATGCAAAATGACTTCATACTGGATGGTTAACACACTGTTTAGGGAGCCACTGTCTGCTAATGGCTTTCACATCCTTAATGGTTCACTATATGCCAAATAACAATCTGATTTCTCTGGGTTGGGTTCAGGTGAGTAAGGGAGGATTTCTTGGCTGAAGTCAGAATAATAAAGGATACAAATATATAGTCGTCCATGTATCTCTTCTTGAGGTTTGTCCACGATGGCGTCCTCGTTGATTTTGGTGAGAAGCACCATGTCGTCCACGCCACTCTGCTTGACATTGTGGCTCTGCCAGTGGTACCGGTAGTGACCCCGGCTTCCCTGTCAGAGAACACAGACAGAGCATAAAAGTTAACACAACATTAAACAAACAGAGCATTTATCTTCAGCTAAACATTAGTCTGTAATAGCCTGGAAGGTTAATGGCCACAATTCTGCATTTGCATAGTCACACAGTGGTGAACACTGTAGAGTTGCTTTACATATTACCCAAGCGTAAACATCTATATTTTCAATAAAGCGTACAATACGTTTGAAGCAGAAAATGCAACCAATTTCTATGAATGAACTTTGGAGGTGTGGAAAAATATCCCTGCAGATTTCTTTGTAAAATTAAAAGCAAGTCTCCTGAAAAAATGAACGCTGTGAACACTATTTACATTGTACTATAAATATTCATATTATTTATAGCTGTTCAGGCCATGATCTTCTGTTAAATACATGTTTTCCAATTTTTTGTCACACTGAAAAATGAATACATTGTATTTACCAGTCATTTTGGCTGGAAATTAAATAAATGAAGGGTGGTTTCTGACTTTTGCACAGTACTATAAGCTGAAAGACAAAACTGTGTTGATGCAACTTGTGGAAATGACGTACACCTTTAAATCAGGAAAACTCAATGCATTACTGTTTGCAGTGCAGTACTTGGACTGGGTTTATTTTCCAAAAAGTATATGAAAAATAAACCCTGAAACACAGTTCACCATCACACGGCACCTTCAGGGAACTGTTTACAGGTTAAAGCAGCCAAAAAAAAACTTGTTTCCTGTTGGCTCCACTGACTTCTCACTCAAGGTCAATAGAACTGAGTACAAATAGCAGTCTTGTCACTGCACAGCTGCCTTCGCTACATTTCCTTCACGAGGGAACTTAATTATAAGGGATCATATCACTGGAAAATTAAATTTCTATTCAAACTCCAGTCCATACAGTCCATATATGGGAAATATCAGGCAAAAACAGGACATTTTGAATTCCAGCTATTCTGCCTACAGCAGTTTAGCTCTGCTTACTCACGCTGAAGATATAAAGAGTGTTTTAGCCTGGACTGCTTTTTGAATGAGGCACAATGTGGGGCCAATCAGAACAGAGGCCAATCAAAACAGCTTATTTACATGCCAGTCTTAAAGGCATAGGAACAAAAACAGCCCATTTCATTTTAAGGGTTGAACAGAGGTTGGAAAATGATAATGTGCAAATAAATTATGACTATTTTTGGTATATAAAACCACACAAAAATTATAAGTCGATCTCAAGGAAATAATAACAAGAAAAATGTCACATACTGGCCCTTGAAAGCCTAAAGGTCTTGTTTGTAGGTATACACTTCAGTTCCTCATCCTCAGAACTGTTGAACTTACTGATACTGGTAGTTGTTGATTGTGGATACTGAATAATTGACAGTAGATTATTAACAAGTTGTAGTAGATGCTGATAAATCCATAGTTACAAATTCATAAGAGATACTGAATAATTCATCATAGATACTTAATAATTTGCATTCATTTTTGAATAATTTAAAGTAGATACTTAATAATTCATATTAGTTATTGAATAAATCACAACAGATACTGTACAATTCATAGCAAATAATGAATCTGGAGTTTCCAGGGTTAAGCTTTGCCTCTTGATAAAGGGCATTGCTGACCCTGGTCAGAGTGTGAAAACTGTCCACTCAGTGAAGTGACCACATCCAGTTTACAAACGGACACATTTTAACAATGTCTGTGTTCTCTCACCACAGCAGATGTTGAGTTTGTTTTCTCGAAACTGGTGAAAAGTGCAAGGTCAGAAGTCTCGCAAAAACGTTCCCCATGCGCTGCAAATACTTCTTTTGATCTCAGATCTTTTCCAAATCCCTCCTCCTCCCTCTTTTCTCTCTCACTCACTTGCTCACTCGTTAGTGTTTTTTTTTTGCAGAGGACGCATCTCAGTGGGTCATTCATCATGGGCTGTGAGTCAGTATCATCTGGCTACTGTTAGAGGTCAAAACGCACCATGAGCAATTTTTCTCTTTAGAGGTCCGGTGAGACATTCACCCCGGAGAACATGTACAGATGATCAGATTAGTGTCTGAACAGATTGCCAGTCCTCAACAGTCAAGTTCTGGTTCAGGTCGAGCACTGTTTGGGTCTCGTTCTGCCCCAACACTACTGGATAGTTAGTTAGTGTTTACCCACAGCTCCACAGACTGACACGATGAAATTTGGATGTGTCAACAAAAGGCTTTGTGCTTTTGTTGTTTTCGGTCAGTTAAAATGCTGAGCTCTTTGCATTTTCAGTCAGATCTCTTTACATAAAAGTTTGCTTTGGAACATATTTTTACCTGACAGTACTTTGTGTTCAAGTTTATCAGTTCAGCTTGTATTACTACAATAAAGGTGACCAGCTGGTGACTTCTAACTTGGCAGTCTCTGTAAAGCAGGCGTCTCAAACCACCTGGGGGTCACTAACAGGGTGGTCTTTTCCAGTGAGGGCTGGTTAAAAACATGCAGGGAAAAAGTCCCAAATCTTTCCCCTCAATGTGTGAATTTGAACCACATAACGTTCACTCGCTTAACCACTTCTTTGGACTGTGGGAGAAAACCGGAGTACCCAGAGGAAACCCACACAGACACAGGGAGAACATGCAAACTCCACACAGAAAGGACCCTGGTCGCACGGCCAGGGAATCGAACCCAGGCCCTTCTTGCTGTGAGGCGACCATGCCGCCCACTACTATAACTACTAACACTAAAATATTGGGAATTTTAGCAGTAGTAGCAGTAATAAACACACAGTGTTTAAGCACTATTTTAGTGTTCAATTAAATCAAGTAAAATTACATTTAACAGTAGAAATATTGTGGACTCTCTGATATTCCTGGTTGAACGCAAATGAAAAAATTGCAAATGAAGTGCTGGCAGAGCAGTTAATTCTGCATTCCCAGTGGATCCGCTTGATAATTCTATTCATTTCCTAATGCTGTATCTACATCTGTGTCATGAATGAATCCACAAAGACGTTTAAGTAACCATCGGTCTAAATTAGAACAGTAAGAACAGTATGAATGACAGCCAATGTGCAGCGGTCATGCTGCATCAGGTTTTCGTTTAAATGGTTCCTCTTGCACACTGCACTGTAATTTCCCTTTAACATTGTTATCTTCAGCCCAAGCTGATTTTATACACATAATAGTAACATAATAGTGAACTGGTCACAGTGTCTGATGGTTGAAGCAAATCAACCCAGTAGGTGTAAAAATTTAGTCTCAGAAACATGAAAAAATGATTTGTGGGCCTCTGTAAATATGTGATGGACATATGAAGAGCTGGTAGATTCAGACCCCTACTGTAAAAAGTAATTAGGGTCTGGAGGCATTTAAATCTGCAGAAATGATCCATTTAGATGTATGTGTTCATTATATTATAAAACAAACGAGTAATATTTTCAATATTAATGTTAAATATTAATATTTTTGACAGGATTTTTGTTGATACTAAAATATCAATGGAATCTCAATATCACCGATTTTATCGGCTGGCTGATATATCAGCCGGGCCTCATATCTGATTCTGAACCAGAGCTGATCTTCAGTCAAGCGCTGTTTCACTATTTTTTCCTGACATTGTTCCATCGTTACAGTGTCTGCTTTGAAGCTCTGTTTTGTTCGTTCCTCTCCTACACTATATTTCCCCCACCCGGACAGTGTTGTGGGATATGATGTAGAATGGAAGACATTTCAAATCTTCCTTATCCTACATTCCGCAGCCTGGAATACCACGCAGTGGAGAAGGCCGCTCACCGAGGGAGTGCGGTAAGAGCAAGCAGAGGGGACTGAATGTTCCCCTCTCTCCTATATGAGCTTAAATGAACTCTCTGCTCAAACCTAAATGAACTTACTGCGGTCAGACAAAACACCAAGTAAGACCACTGTAAATTACAGGAAAATAGAAGGAGTACAACAGCCGCTGCGCACTTCGCTAGAACACTATTAGTGCAGGACACTACACAAACAGGCTGGCTGCATTTTACCAGCCAAAATAAATACCTCCTTCAATTTACAGACTTCATTTCTGCATGGACGACTAGGAATGTTAATGATCTCTTTTGGGCTACTTTTTTCTTTTTGTTCTTCTGTTTTTTTTTCCCTACAGTAGGCATGTTGTGAATCACTGCTTGATTAATTTTCCAGACGGTAGCCATTATCATGTTTTACAACAGAGAGCAGGAAAAGACACTACTAATTTGTGACCTGGTGTTTTGTAGAGTGACGTCATATCTTGTTGTGAACTGGTGGCAGTGTCATTTTGGAGTGATGTCATATCATGGGACCTCGTTACCACCTGGAGGAGGATGAGGTGTTAATGAAGGGAGCGTGCAGAGCGGAGCTAGGGAATACCAGGCTTGAGGAGAAAGATCGGGTAATAACTCTCTGTATAAGCCCTAGAAAAAAATGTTAAAAGGGGCTTTTTAGCCAGAATGAAAAACATAACCATCTATCGTAAAAAAACCTGCTTACTCGCATCCTACTGTGGTGCTGTAGTCTCTACAGTGAGAGTTCAAAGACTAGGAAAAAACCCTTCTGAAGATGCAACTTGAAAGTTGTAGGAAAACACTACAACTCTATAATCGCTTTAGTGTGGATTTTTGGGGACAGGCTGTTTGTAATTTTGTTTTTTTGAGCGCAGAAGGAACACAAATAGCTAACATTGGTGTTAAGAAGCCAAACAGCTTATTGCAGCCATATAACTGTCTTTAAATCATCATCACAATGGAGAACGGATTAGTTCAACGACAGAAAATACTCATCAAACATGAAGCACAACAAGCTAACAGCTACATTTACATAGCAACCTAGCTATCTAGATTCCTCAGTTTAGCTTGTCTTCTCTGTTTTATTTACAATTTTGTTCACTGAGGTAAGAGTCTGTATTTGTGTTTGTATTTATTCACCTATAGCTCAGTGGATAGGCTAGCATTTAGCATGGGTGACACCACAGGGATTCCCAATGGCTGTGTGATGAATTTGCATAATGCAAGTTGGATAATTAATGATA